TAGATCTTTAGTTGGAAAATTGTTATTTGCTGCCAATACTGTTAGGAGCGATATTAGTTATATCGTCGGTGTTTTATCAAGATATCTCAAGGAGCCAAAGGAGGTCCATTACAAGGCAGCTAAAAGAGTGTTGAGATATTTGAAAGGTACAAAAGAATTAGGTATAAGATATGAGGCTGGAGATAAAGGAGATGGTGAACTAGTTGGATATTGTGATGCTGACTGGGCTGGAGATAAGTCAGACAGAAAGTCTACTACTGGGTTTGTGTTCAAGTATGCCAATGGTGCAATAACATGGAGGTCCAAGAAACAAGCAACGGTTGCTCTTTCTACAGCTGAAGCAGAATATATGTCTCTCAGCGAAGGTGTGAAAGAGGCATTGTGGTTGAAACAGGTCTTTGAGGAGTTTGGCCTCAACACTGGTGCAGTGAAGATTTATGATGATAACCAGGGGTGTATTGAAATGGCCAAACATCCAGCTTTCCATCACCGTACCAAACATATTGATATCAGGACTCATTTCATCAGGGATCACATTGGATCTGGGACAATTGATTTGCAATACCTTAATACTGGAATCATGGTTGCTGACATGTTCACTAAAGGTCTTGCTGCTCCTCAATTCATAGAGCTAAGAAAGCTTTGTGGTATGGTGACTTTGAATTGAGAGAGGGTGTTGAGTTGACAATCCAAAGTCATATATTGGGTTTTGTACAGATGGCTCAACGGTTAACACGGGTATCAATGTGTTGAATAGATCCTGGGTTCGAGTCTCGGATAAGACGGTTTATTTACCATGGCTGAGCAATATATAATCTGCATGTGATTATGACTCAGCCTAATAATTAGTCATTGTGCATATGATTAATCATCTAGAATGTTCTAGATGGATGTATGATTACAAATCATATATATTGGTCTTATTATAAATATGGGGCCTCTCCCCATAGTTTGAGTTTATATTTTGTTAGTTAAATAGTTAGTTAGTTAAGAAGAATAAGAATAATAACAAGGATAGTTTGATAGTATTTGTTATTGGTAATGACTACTGTAACTAGGGTTACAAAACTTCAACACCAAATGGGTTTCTCTTAATTATACCCCTGGTTTCCTTGACTCTAGAACCTGATGATCTTTTTCTTTTCGTAGCAGTAACCAACTGAAAAGCATCATCATAAACTTTTGAGGGAATCAATTCTCCGTCCCCATACTCCTTGGTTTCAACCATAGTCATTTCAACATCCTTGGTAGACCCATCTCTTTCAGCTGGAGCTTCTTCACCAAACTCACTCATATCCGATACCATACTTTCATCATCAACTGAGATCCGAGACGCGGTTTCATCTTCATGGTATCCTGAACTATTCACCCTGCTGATATCAACATGAACCAATTTCTCATCCGTAATAATTGGAGCAGCAGATATTCCACCAACACGACCGCCGCCACCACCGCCTCCGCCAGAAACTCTATTCTCTTCTCCTGGTATAGCAGTGGAAGACACTTTCACATCTTGATAATAATACCTTGACTCATCGAAGTTGACTTGGGTAGCAGTTATAATTCTGTTGGCTTCAGGATCAAACATCCTGTAGGCACACCGGTTTCTATCATAACCAAGCATGATGCACATTTTCGAAGTAGCACCAAATTTTCCATACCTCAACTTCTGAGGGACAACAACATATCCAAGGCAACCAAAAACTCTAAGATGATCCAATCCTGGATTGTAACCAAACCACCGACAATATGGTGTCCGAAAACCAATTATTCTCGAAGGTGTTCTATTGATCAAGTAAGCAGCAGTACGAACGCCTTCGGACCAGAATTGGGCAGGCATCGAAGCCCCAATAAGCAACGATCTCGTTTTATCCTGGAGCGTTCTGTTCATCCGCTCCGCAGTACCATTCTGATAACTATGGTGTGGGACGGTCAACTCGTGGGCAATCCCTTTGCCTCTTAAATACTCATGAAGCTCAATAGTTACAAACTCACCACCATTATCGGTTCTGATGGTGCCAACTTTGAACTCTTTTCCTTGTGATTTGAACATCGTTTCAGCATAGTTGATGAAATCAATAATCTGAGAGGTACATTCTGACTTATGGGTAAGGCATCTAACCTCTACCCACCTAGAATAACCATCAACTATGGTGAGAAAATACTTTGCCGAATCAACAGAGCCATAACTAAATGGACCACAAACGTCCATATGCAATAATTGTAAAGGTTTCTTTGGCTTGGAACCTTGACCATTCCTTGGCTTTCTCACAACGCCTTTAGTGGACAAGCAACAGTCACAAATAATGGTGCTGTTAGTTCCACTAATTTTCCCTTTTACCAACTTGAAAATATTATTAAACTTCTGCATGATGTTTGCACTAGGGTGGCCTAGCCGCTCATGCCAGAGGCTACCCTTGTCGGTACTCTTAAACGCAACACCATTAGTTTCGGTAGATAATCTGTAAAGCCCATTCATCAGAGGATCCTTGGTACCAATAACCTTCATTTCCGGATACATTTTCACTTTGTTTCCTTCAAACAATAATTTCGCACCATTCAGAGTAGCCTTGGAAACTGAAATCAAGTTGGCTTTTGAGTCTGGAACATAATAAGCATCTTTGATTTCAATATTGGTATTATCACGTAATTTGAACTCCGCAGACCCAATACCTGCAACAGCAACACCACCGCCATCAATCCCGGAGATCTCTCCTCCAAACGGTCTGATCGTCTTGAACAAGCTCTTATTGTTTAAGATATGTTGCGAGGCACCTGAATCAAAATACACCCTGGAGTTGTTACCATGCATTCCCATAAATGCATACCACGATGGTGACGGATTCCTACCATCGCCAATTAATTTCTCTCTCTTAGGAGCCTTGCAATCTCTTCTGAAATGTCCAGGCTTCCCACAATTGAAGCACTTGTATTGCTTCTTGGTGGCGAAAACCGGTTCCGGACTCTCAATACTAGTAGACGCAATACTTTTATCTCCAATGATCTCTCTTGTTAAATCCTGAACAAGACCGAGGTCAACATTACCAATAGTTCTGCCATTTCTGGACTCGTAGGCTGTCATGACTTCTCTAGAGAGGCTATTACCGAAACCAGCCTTCTGGCCCAAACCCAAGAACAATGCACAAAGCACAGTGCTTCCGTCCAATTTACCAACAGTGTTCTTGAAATGATTAAAAGCATCAATAAAGTGTTCCACTTTTCCTTCTTTAGTTTTCAACCATTTGTTGTCCATTAAATCACAAATAATACCCACAGCATTGGTAACAGTCAAAGTACCATAGGCCTCCTTGAGAAACATAAACAAGTTTCTGCCGGTACCATCGAATTCCGAGGCCTTAGTCAAAGCAGCGCCAGTGATACTGTTAAAGACAACCGTAGAGATAATTTCATCCATAGTAGCAACCAATTGAGCAACTTCGTTTGAGTCTTCCAGACCGTCAGTTCCGGTCTCTCCATTGATCAAATAAGCATATAACCCAAGACCTTTCATCTTCATCTTGACACTGATCAATGTGAACCAATCATAGAAGTTTGATGAACCTTTCAACTTTTCATCAGCAGCAAACGAAGTAAGAGCATTTGAACTCATAACCTGTTGAAGTTTTGTAACCCTAGTTACAGTAGTCATTACCAATAACAAATACTATCAAACTATCCTTGTTATTATTCTTATTCTTCTTAACTAACTAACTATTTAAATAACAAAATATAAACTCAAACTATGGGGAGAGGCCCCATATTTATAATAAGACCAATATATATGATTTGTAATCATACATCCATCTAGAACATTCTAGATGATTAATCATATGCACAATGACTAATTATTAGGCTGAGTCATAATCACATGCAGATTATATATTGCTCAGCCATGGTAAATAAACCGTCTTATCCGAGACTCGAACCCGGGATCTATTCAACACATTGATACCCGTGTTAACCGTTGAGCCATCTGTACAAAACCCAATATATGACTTTGGATTGTCAACTCAACAAGGAGGTGCATTACAAGGCAGCAAAGAGAGTTTTAAGATACTTGAAAGGAACCAAAGATTTGGGAATAAGATATGAGGCTGGCAATAATGATAACGGTGAGCTTCTTGGATACTGTGATGCTGACTGGGCTGGAGATAAGTCAGACAGAAAGTCTACTACTGGGTTTGTGTTCAAATATGCCAATGGTGCAATCACATGGAGATCTAAGAAGCAAGCTACTGTTGATCTTTCTACGGCAGAGGCTGAATACATGTCACTAAGTGAAGGAGTCAAGGAAGCATTATGGCTAATGCAAGTGTTCAAGGAATTTGGGATCAATACTGGTCCAGTGAGGATGTTTGATGATAACCAAGGGTGTATTGAAATGGCAAAGCATCCAGCTTTCCATCATCGCACCAAACACATTGACATCAGGACTCACTTTATCAGGGACCACATTGGATCTGGCTCTATCAATTTGGAGTACTTGAGCACTGGTGTTATGATTGCTGATATGTTTACAAAAGGTCTTGCTGCCCCTCAATTCTTGGAGTTGAGAAGGCTCTGTGGTATGGAGACTTTGAATTGAGAGAGGGTGTTGAGTTGGCAATCCAAAGTTATGTGGTTAGTCATTGTTCATGGAACCTTCTAGAACTTATGGAACCTTCTAGAACTCATGGAACCTTCTAGAACTTATGGAACCTTCTAGAACTTATGGAACCTTCTAGAATTCCATGGAACATTCTAGAGCTTATGGAACATTCTAGAACCCATTGAGATTAATATAAATATGGGCCATGCCCCCCATAGTCTGAGTTTGTCCTTTATATAATTTAGATAGTTAACAAGTAAAACAAGTATAACAAGGGAATAAATATTATTGAATATTATTGTTATCAATGTCTTTTGTAACTAGAGTTACAAAACTACAACATGCCTTATTTTGCCTTTGAAATCTATACCGAGTATTTTGGAATATTATAGGTCTTCATAAGTACAATAAAATGTCGGGTGTTACGTTTAGCTTTGGAAGTGCTGCTTGGGATGTTACCGAGTCTAGCATTAAGCTTTTTAACGAGTCCCTTAAGGGAGCGAAAGAAACGAAGGTGCAAGGGGGTTTGGAGTTTCCATTAGTACTTGAGTACATGAAAACTGCGTTTGCGACCTTGAGTTTGGAGAATCCAACTTTTATCGCTGACCAATTCTTTGAGGCCGATAGCTCTAATCAAGCCCCATACTTTTTGGGAGTCTTGATTCAAGCTGCCTTAAGGGTGAAGTTAGATGAAAAGCTCTTCAAACGGGTTATGCACAAGCAACCCAACGGGGTGCTTGCGTGGTATGCTTTCGCCAAGAAGTACAAGCTGATTGATTATGAGTCTCAAGTCCAGGTCTTGCATAACTTTGGTTATGCCCTTACCAAAGGTAATAGCGAATTAATGGAGAGAGCTACTACCGCGTTTGCGTATTACTTTGACGTCCCGAAGAAGTTGATTCCGCTTGCCGCATGTGCCATCATGGATGATGGTACTAGGCAAAAGTTCTTCGATAAAACTGGATACAATGATCCAGAAGCCGGTTTTGAAAACTTATCTTTTGACGAAGTGGCCGGATTTTTCGAAGAAATGAGTCAAAAGTATAGTCGCATTGAAGAAGAGAACCTGATGGAACTCGCCCAAAATGTGGTGCACCAACGTGGGTCCAGTGGGAGAAAGAACTGGACTTGCTGGAACTGTGGTAAGAAGGGACATATCGCTAGGGATTGTCCTAACCACAAGCCAGGGCTCTCTAAGTTTTACGAGAGAAAACCGGATGCTAGAGCGTTCTATCTGCAAACGGTGTTTGATGCTGAAGAGAACCACTCTTCAGAGGAGGCTTGGTTGGTTGAAACCAAGCCTGGTCCTGGAACTGGTATATCCAGTGTTAAACCTAACTATGGTCGCAAGAAAGCGTTTTCTACTGTAGGTGCGTGTAAAACAGATGCCGCAGTGAGATTTACGTTGGATAGTGGGTCCGCCTGTCATCTTGCAAATATGAAGATAAAGTTGGCCAATGTCCGTCGCGATGATACCAAGGTGTTAGGTGCCAACGGTTTAAGTACCGTGAAACAACAAGGTGATTTGTTGTCTCAAAAATTGTCCGTTAACGGTATCAAGTTAATGGATGGCTTGCCACGGAATCTACTTTCAATCCCGAAGATTGTGGATAGTGGATTCGACGTGTTGCTTAGCAAGCATAATGGTTCTATTGCCAACCGTAAAAATGGTAATGTTGTTTTGAACTTTCCAAGAGTTGGACCGTTCTGGGAATTGAGCGTTAAAGCTGATTCCGCCGAAGAGATGGCCTTTAATGTCGAAAGTTACGAGGGCTTAAAGGCTATCAAAGAAGTGCATGAAAGTAATAATCATGCGAAGTTGAGAACCAAGAAAGAGTTATTGAAAGGCCATGGTGTTTTAGAAGCTGATATTAAGTATGTTTTGACCAGTTGTGAAACGTGTATGTCCAAAGTCACCAAGCCGGGCGGTAAACCAGCTGTGCGAAAGTACAACGTTGGTGAGATGATTCAGGCTGATGTTATAGGTCCGATAAACAAAGCTTATGCCCTTATTGTGTCAGACAGAGCCTCTAAATTTGTTGCTCACAGGGTGCTTAAATCAAGAGCTGAAGTGTCAGCCAAGACCATTGATGTTGAGTTGACAATCCAAAGTCATATATTGGGTTTTGTACAGATGGCTCAACGGTTAACACGGGTATCAATGTGTTGAATAGATCCCGGGTTCGAGTCTCGGATAAGACGGTTTATTTACCATGGCTGAGCAATATATAATCTGCATGTGATTATGACTCAGCCTAATAATTAGTCATTGTGCATATGATTAATCATCTAGAATGTTCTAGATGGATGTATGATTACAAATCATATATATTGGTCTTATTATAAATATGGGGCCTCTCCCCATAGTTTGAGTTTATATTTTGTTATTTAAATAGTTAGTTAGTTAAGAAGAATAAAAATAATAACAAGGATAGTTTGATAGTATTTGTTATTGGTAATGACTACTGTAACTAGGGTTACAAAACTTCAACAGGTTATGAGTTCAAATGCTCTTACTTCGTTTGCTGCTGATGAAAAGTTGAAAGGTTCATCAAACTTCTATGATTGGTTCACATTGATCAGTGTCAAGATGAAGATGAAAGGTCTTGGGTTATATGCTTATTTGATCAATGGAGAGACCGGAACTGACGGTCTGGAAGACTCAAACGAAGTTGCTCAATTGGTTGCTACTATGGATGAAATTATCTCTACGGTTGTCTTTAACAGTATCACTGGCGCTGCTTTGACTAAGGCCTCGGAATTCGATGGTACCGGCAGAAACTTGTTTATGTTTCTCAAGGAGGCCTATGGTACTTTGACTGTTACCAATGCTGTGGGTATTATTTGTGATTTAATGGACAACAAATGGTTGAAAACTAAAGAAGGAAAAGTGGAACACTTTATTGATGCTTTTAATCATTTCAAGAACACTGTTGGTAAATTGGACGGAAGCACTGTGCTTTGTGCATTGTTCTTGGGTTTGGGCCAGAAGGCTGGTTTCGGTAATAGCCTCTCTAGAGAAGTCATGACAGCCTACGAGTCCAGAAATGGCAGAACTATTGGTAATGTTGACCTCGGTCTTGTTCAGGATTTAACAAGAGAGATCATTGGAGATAAAAGTATTGCGTCTACTAGTATTGAGAGTCCGGAACCGGTTTTCGCCACCAAGAAGCAATACAAGTGCTTCAATTGTGGGAAGCCTGGACATTTCAGAAGAGATTGCAAGGCTCCTAAGAGAGAGAAATTAATTGGCGATGGTAGGAATCCGTCACCATCGTGGTATGCATTTATGGGAATGCATGGTAACAACTCCAGGGTGTATTTTGATTCAGGTGCCTCGCAACATATCTTAAACAATAAGAGCTTGTTCAAGACGATCAGACCGTTTGGAGGAGAGATCTCCGGGATTGATGGCGGTGGTGTTGCTGTTGCAGGTATTGGGTCTGCGGAGTTCAAATTACGTGATAATACCAATATTGAAATCAAAGATGCTTATTATGTTCCAGACTCAAAAGCCAACTTGATTTCAGTTTCCAAGGCTACTCTGAATGGTGCGAAATTATTGTTTGAAGGAAACAAAGTGAAAATGTATCCGGAAATGAAGGTTATTGGTACCAAGGATCCTCTGATGAATGGGCTTTACAGATTATCTACTGAAACTAATGGTGTTGCGTTTAAGAGTACCGACAAGGGTAGCCTCTGGCATGAGCGGCTAGGCCACCCTAGTGCAAACATCATGCAGAAGTTTAATAATATTTTCAAGTTGGTAAAAGGGAAAATTAGTGGAACTAACAGCACCATTATTTGTGACTGTTGCTTGTCCACTAAAGGCGTTGTGAGAAAGCCAAGGAATGGTCAAGGTTCCAAGCCAAAGAGACCTTTACAATTATTGCATATGGACGTTTGTGGTCCATTTAGTTATGGCTCTGTTGATTCGGCAAAGTATTTTCTCACCATAGTTGATGGTTATTCTAGGTGGGTAGAGGTTAGATGCGTTACCCATAAGTCAGAATGTACCTCTCAGATTATTGATTTCATCAACTATGCTGAAACGATGTTCAAATCACAAGGAAAAGAGTTCAAAGTTGGCACCATAAGAACCGATAATGGTGGTGAGTTTGTAACTATTGAGCTTCATGAGTATTTAAGAGGCAAAGGGATTGCCCACGAGTTGACCGTCCCACACCATAGTTATCAGAATGGTACTGCGGAGCGGATGAACAGAACGCTCCAGGATAAAACGAGATCGTTGCTTATTGGGGCTTCGATGCCTGCCCAATTCTGGTCCGAAGGCGTTCGTACTGCTGCTTACTTGATCAATAGAACACCTTCGAGAATAATTGGTTTTCGGACACCATATTGTCGGTGGTTTGGTTACAATCCAGGATTGGATCATCTTAGAGTTTTTGGTTGCCTTGGATATGTTGTTGTCCCTCAGAAGTTGAGGTATGGAAAATTTGGTGCTACTTCGAAAATGTGCATCATGCTTGGTTATGATAGAAACCGGTGTGCCTACAGGATGTTTGATCCTGAAGCCAACAGAATTATAACTGCTACCCAAGTCAACTTCGATGAGTCAAGGTATTATTATCAAGATGTGAAAGTGTCTTCCACTGCTATACCAGGAGAAGAGAATAGAGTTTCTGGCGGAGGCGGTGGTGGCGGCGGTCGTGTTGGTGGAATATCTGCTGCTCCAATTATTACGGATGAGAAATTGGTTCATGTTGATATCAGCAGGGTGAATAGTTCAGGATACCATGAAGATGAAACCGCGTCTCGGATCTCAGTTGATGATGAAAGTATGGTATCGGATATGAGTGAGTTTGGTGAAGAAGCTCCAGCTGAAAGAGATGGGTCTACCAAGGATGTTGAAATGACTATGGTTGAAACCAAGGAGTATGGGGACGGAGAATTGATTCCCTCAAAAGTTTATGATGATGCTTTTCAGTTGGTTACTGCTACGAAAAGAAAAAGATCATCAGGTTCTAGAGTCAAGGAAACCAGGGGTATAATTAAGAGAAACCCATTTGGTATTTTGGCTGAAATAGAAGAACAGCCTGACACATTCAGCTCAGATTCAGAGAGGGAAAGTGTTACTGAGAAACCACAAAGAAAGAAGTTCAGGAATACAAGAAATTCAGAAGAGTTGACTTCGTTTGTTCCAAATGGCAGTAGCAATGATGACTTGGTGGTTTCGAAAATTGAGCCTCATATTGAAGAGCCAAGTGATTGTGATGAAGAATCAGAACTGAATGATGATACCAAAAGCAAGTTGTTAGAATACAAACCTGTGAATTACGTTGCTACATGCTTCATGGCTGGTGAAGCTGACGCTATATCTGGAGGAACTGATGTTCCTGGAAACCACAAGGAAGCTATGAAGAGCGATGAAAGAGTGGAATGGAAGCGCGCTTGTGACGAAGAAATAGCTGCTCACAAGGAGAACTCCACTTATGAATTGGTCAAGTTGCCGAAAGGAAGAAAGCCAATTACATGTCGTTGGGTCTTTGCAAAGAAAGATGACGGAGTCTTCAAGGGAAGACTTGTTGCTCGAGGATTCACACAGGTGAAGGGTATTGACTACAATGAGACATTCTCACCTGTGGTGCGTTATGAATCTATCAGGTTGATGTTGAGTATCGCTGCCAAGAATGGAATGGCAGTTCATCAGATGGATGTTAAGACTGCTTTTCTCAATGGGTTTCTTCAAGAAGAATTATACATGACACAGCCGGAAGGGTATGTGGTTAAGGGAAAAGAAACAATGGTTTTGAGATTGAAGAAAAGCTTATATGGATTGAAGCAAGCTCCCTTGGTGTGGAATGAGAGAATCCACAGTGTATTGTCGTCTCTTGGTTTTGTTAGAAACGGTGCTGAGTATTGTTTGTACTCAAGGAAATCGGAAAAATCATTTGTGATGGTTGCTCTCTATGTTGACGACTTATTGATAGCTGGTACCTCAGATTTTGCTATTGGAAAAGTCAAATCTGAATTGATGAATGTTTTCAAGATGAAAGACTTGGGAGTTGTCAAGAAATTTTTAGGCATGAATATTTCTCAAGATGATGGTGGTATCAACATGAGTTTGAAGGACTACATTGGTTCCATGTTGAAGGAATTTGGAATGGAGAATTGCAACCACGATAAGACGCCTACAATTTCTGGCCAAGAACTTACGTTGGTGGATGCCAATGCTGAAACATGTGATGCTACAGACTATAGATCCTTAGTTGGAAAATTGTTGTTTGCTGCCAATACTGTTAGGAGCGATATTAGTTATATCGTCGGTGTTTTATCAAGATATCTCAAGGAGCCAAAGGAGGTCCATTACAAGGCAGCTAAAAGAGTGTTGAGATATTTGAAAGGTACGAAAGAATTAGGTATAAGATATGAGGCTGTAGATAAAGGAGATGGTGAACTAGTTGGATATTGTGATGCTGACTGGGCTGGAGATAAGTCAGACAGAAAGTCTACTACTGGGTTTGTGTTCAAATATGCCAATGGTGCAATCACATGGAGATCTAAGAAACAAGCAACGGTTGCTCTTTCTACAGCTGAAGCAGAATATATGTCTCTCAGCGAAGGTGTGAAAGAGGCATTGTGGTTGAAACAGGTCTTTGAACAGTTTGGCCTTAACACTGGTGCAGTGAAGATTTATGTTGAGTTGGCAATCCAAAGTTATGTGGTTAGTCATTGTTCATGGAACCTTCTAGAACTCATGGAACCTTCTAGAACTTATGGAACCTTCTAGAATTCCATGGAATTCTAGAACTCATGGAACCTTCTAGAATTCCATGGAACATTCTAGAACTCATGGAACCTTCTAGAATTCCATGGAACATTCTAGAGCTTATGGAACCTTCTAGAACCCATTGAGATTAATATAAATATGGGCCATGCCCCCATAGTCTGAGTTTGTCCTTTATATAATTTAGATAGTTAACAAGTAAAACAAGTATAACAAGGGAATAAATATTATTGAATATTATTGTTATCAATGTCTTTTGTAACTAGAGTTACAAAACTACAACAGG